TCTTACAGAAATCGTTTCACACCCGCGCGCTGGCGGTACGGATTTATTATCTAAAAAGTTGAACTCTGTATACCATTCCCCATATACTTGCTGCAAAAGTCCCTTAATTAATTCGGCCACCCTCGTTAGTTGATGGTAAAACAATTTATTATTAACTATCAAATGGTAGAGTGAAATAATGATTTTCAAAATGACGCCTTGTAATTTGGAAACTGAGAAGTTGAGAGTGCAGAGTCTCATACTCTGTGCAACTGCTATACGCTAGGCAGTAGTAGAGTAGTTAATTTTCAACCAACTAATGGTCCATGTCGCGACCCACCTCCCCAAAAACCGCTGGCTGGCTCTCCTGTTCCCTCGGCTCGTTGTAATTAGGATACGGCACCCATCACACTCAACTCTATATCTATCTTTCACCTTTCCCAACCACACTTCCAACTCTCCCTGTTCCTTTCCACCCCTCACTACCTCTTTATCAAACGACAAACTCCCCCAAAATTACTCCACGTCCTTTGCCACCAGCTTTTTTCATCATCATTCAAATTCAACAAATCAACACCAACATCACATCAACTTGTAGTCGATCCCAAGTAGATCTTATCCGTTATTTCATATTTTTATCAACCAATTGTCAATCTGGCATTCATTCTCTGTATAAGTGATATAATTATAAGTAAAATAAAAATAAATTGTTATTTTATGTTATCGCCTTTTTAGATGATCTCATTGATATTTTGATGATGAGAGTTGTGATGAAATTTGATGGTGAAATGACGATTGAATTATTCATTTCATATTGCATGGATAACTGGAGTGATGAGGATTTAGCAGATGCATGGTATAGGTGGTATAATTGGTGGTTATGTATGTTGATCAAGGATGCATTTGGGATGGAGTTCATTATGCGCCTGGCTCGGCTATGATGGGCTCACGTAGGTGTGAATATTGTTACTGCATATCTGGTGAACGTAGATGCGTCAGGCCAAAGTGTCTATTGCCATTACCGGGATGCACGCCACTTTACGCTCCCTACTCCTGCTGTCCAGTCGCCTACAATTGTACGCGTAAGTGTTTAAAGTCATTACCCTGGAAAATATTTTGAATTTTAACACTTTTTGCTTCCAAATGGAAACATTGTATTTAACCGATTTTTCGATTCTCTAATTTCAATTGCAATTTATCTAGAATGTTATGAAGCGTGAAAAAACGATGTTTTTGGATCATGTCTATGTGCATGAGCTGGAAAATTCTATATAATTACGGTAAAATTTATAGGTAAAAATATGAATTTTTGGCTTATGATAGCTATCATTAAATTTTACTTTGATGCGCCGTTTCGGCTCGATCGGTCGGGTAGTTCCTGAGATATACCAGCTTTTGCAAATTTCGTTTTCCTCAATATCTCAAAAACTGATAAATGTGTATATTAGGGGCCTCACCCCCGATTTACTTGCAATTTTTTAGAGACACTTATTCTTGTTCCGTTATGCTCGTCTTAAATTTTCTTGCGTCGAAAACGCATACAATGCAAGATCTTAATTATTTAAAAAATAATATAAACTAGTGTAAAAACACGAACCAAGTACCAATTCCAACTGTAATACGTTTTCCGACCCTCGGAAAACCGTTTTTCATCATTTCATGGAAACACTGTAACCGTTCTACTTTTCGATTTCTTAATTTTGCTTGGAAACGATGTAGAATGGTCTGAAACGTAAAAATACGAAATTTAACCACCCCGTGTGTATGTGCGGATGTCCATGCGGTCACGTTTTTGAAAATTGTAGAATTAACCGGCTGAAAAAATTCCGAAAAATTCGTCATTCTGTCGAACCATAAATATTAATGACGACTAACTCTGTGCCAAAATTTTTCTACTAGAAATAGGTGAGGTCCCTATTATACTACTCCACTCCTCTCTATATCAATCGAAAAATCAACATTTTTAGGTTTCATAATCATAAACGTTGTGAACACGATAAATTAACAAAAAATAGAGATAGCGAGTGAAAATTTTGTACACTTGTAGCCCTCATAACATGAAGGATTCGTATTTTTTTTTTCCTTTCCTTTGATTTTTCAAAACAAACAGGTTCATTCCACCATTCAATTTCACTATCGACAAATGGTTGTAAAGTTGGTAAACGTTGTTATGAAGAGGGAGAAATGGTGCGTGACATTGAATGGAAGACAATGTGTGACAATTGCTTTTGCGCTATGGGCGGTATTCGCTGTGTTCCACTTGCATGCGCACCACCTCTACGAGGATGTACACCCATAGTACGTGAAGGACAATGCTGTCCATCGACCTACAATTGCAGTGAGTTGTTTCGTTATATCCCTTCACTATAATTACAAATATATTTTCATTAAGTAATTATTACATGAAATCTTTCCTCCCCGTTTTTCACTTTTTCATGTGCCATTAAATGTGAGACAATTAAAATGATAAGCGGCTCCACGACAATCGCCCATTCAATTGTAATTCAATTTTTCGTTATCAGGTGGGAGTATTGCCGTTAAATCGAGTCAAAGTTATGCTTCGTACGCATTTATTAGTAAAGATTATGCAAAATTTCGGAAAGAAACGAATTTTCTTTCACCCGGTGAAAGCGGGTATTCGACGGTGGAAGGTAGGTCGCACCGTCAAGATGATGATTTACCAAAAATTGAAGAACCACTTGAAAATGAATCAACGATATCGGGGATTGAGGTAGCATCGTCCACAGTCACTTATGAGACTGAGACGATGGATAACGAGATTCCCACTGAGAGCATGGATTATCCCAAGTCAACTACGTCAGCAGAGAGCATCACCCAATCTTGGACAAGCACCGACGGCGATGAAGCTATCGAGGCATCTAGTACCATTGAAATCTCCACTACCAGCTCCAGTAATACGACTATTATTGATTATCAATTGACCACTAACATTGGCACATCAACTGTCATTGATTACACTCTGTTGAACGAAGGAGTGGCTGACACGACTGTAAGGTCTGACGGAATGTCCTCATTAGGTCATTCAATTCCAATAGTTAATGAGAAAAATGGAACATTTCAATTGAAAACAAAAGCACGAGAGAAAATGGATAACTTTGAGAGAAACTCAACTAGCGAATATCCGGAAATTATTTTTGAAACAACATTTGGAACAATTAAGGAGAAAGTAGAAGCTAATGATGAGTCGATGGGAGGTGTCAAAGGAGCTGTCATGATGCCTGAAGATATTCTTGTTATGAATGTCACTCTAAAAACCAATGTTTCTGTGGAAATTGTCCAGAGTATTGGTAATAATTCTGTGCGGCCGTTGTCCACTGTTATTCAAAGAATCGTCAATATTACAGACAGGAAGAAGGAACAGGATTACGAAGAGTACGATTACAACGAACCTACACTGCCCCCTTCCTTGCCTAATGTCCGGTGAGCCTTCAATCAATGATAAATAAATTTGTATTTATTGTTAATATAATGTATTACAATGCCTGTAGTTAAACCGTACTCCGTTGGCCAGTTAAAGGTGGCTATTTTGGTCATTTAGATTTGCATCTCCAACGACTTGTCTAATCCGGCTTCTATCTGTTGTATTAACGTTTAAACTCGGTGTAGTTTTTGGGGTAGAAGCAAAGTGGCAAAATCCGATATATCTCGAGCGGCAAATATTGTATAATCGTTCGAAGGGGGCGTGAAAGGTGGCGGGAAAGGCTCGGTACATGCAGAGCATCATAAATTTCCTAGCATTTCGACCTTAATTCGTATTAATCCGAGCGCGGTTTACCATCCTCCACGGCAGCTGTTGGCAGTGTGGTATAGATAAATAGTGAGAGTAGTAGAGTGTCGGGTGAAGAAACAATGTACCAGATAATTCGCATTTTCCACATTTGGAATTTATAATATTTCATAATTGAAATCGTAACAAAAGGTGTCTGCTAAATGCTAACTCTAAATGAACCAGTGGTAATTCGATTGACTTCATTTTTTTCGTTTTCTTTTTTGTTTATTTGTTCCGTCAGAATCATTCCATTTGTCGCAGCAGATGCTCTTGTTAAGGATAAAGAATCAACATCACCAGTAACTGCTTATCCCCTGGGCTTAGTCGGCGTTCCACCAGAACTGAGACCAACTGATGTGTCCGCCGTTGGTAGTCCTAGCAATTTCTATAACATTGTTACCCAGGCGAATCGCTTCAGTCCACCAGTAGAAACTGAAGGTCTGTGCTGATTGTTCTGCATCTTTTCTTCTTCTCTAAGGCCCGCCTGGACGATCTATCGAACGCGGTCTTTTGTTTAAGGTAGTACTGCCGTATATCGAAGCAACCATGAGATTTTTATGAAAATTGATATATAGATAGACTTCAAAGAAAAAATCACTTAGTTAAAGTTTTGGAAGCCTGGATGGGCAGAACAATAGTTATTAATGTTGTTATTTTTCGACGATTAACATTGAGTCTTATGGCGGTTCACGGTTTTCTCTCCATGTTGAAAATTCCAACGATGAGTTTTTCATGAAATTTTTTGAGCTATACGTACAGATGCTACAGAACATCTTGTTCGTTGAAGAATTTTGATTCATGGCCTCATGTTGAGATTAATTAATTAAGTGTGGAATCAAAGGATGTGGCAACAGCGCTAAGAAGGTTAGGTGAGCTCTCATTACAGAAACACAACACATACATGGAAACACATCACACAGGCATGCAAGCCGTTGCGCAATGTTGTCAAGCCAAACTACCGCGCTAATCAAAGTCATCAGTACTCTAGCTTGACTCACGATGTACCGGGTGTACTACCATAAATTCTATCTTGTTAGTCTAAAAAATATTTAAATTTGGGATTAAATGTGTGTTGCGGGAACCACTCGGATGGCTATAAAAAGATAATTAAAAAGAAGAAGAAAAATTATTGAAGGGCGGTAACTCGCGATATTGATTGAAAAGGATTTACCAAATTTACAAAAAAATAATGATAAATATGCAGTTTACCATTGCGTCTAGCTATCACTTAATCTAGTGATCTCAAATTTCGATATATTTCAGGCAATCCTGATAGAATTTAAACGAAAGATCACGTTCGATAGATAGTCTATGCGGCTTTTAACATATTATTCTCATTGAATTACCCTATGCAGGAGGATTTGTGCCAAGAGAGCCATCATTCTTCGAGGGCCAATATCACTCGACAGATTTGAATCTTGAAATTGGCACGGGGGTTACAGTTATACCTGCAGACATCACAAATCCCCATCGGAAAAATGATGGTGTGTGCACTGGGAAATGTAGTTAGCGGGAATCCCAGACGGCAGTTTACTCCAAAAATTATTGATTTTTCCAGAATAGGGTAGATGATAGAAAGTGAGAAATCAACTCAATTATTCAAAAAGTGTCAATTCTTCGCGGGATCGACTTCACTCGATTAACTGTGACTGTATAAAATCAAAAAAATCTTTTGAAAAAAACTGCCGTCTGGCAACTCTGGTCTGGCCGTTCAGGCATTATTAAAGAGATATTTTACATTTCAATATTTTTTTTAGATATAACTACTTTAGAGTGCCTTTTTGAGAATCACTCATATCACCACGGTGAGTTGTTACCTAGCAGTGGTCATTGTATCATTTGCATCTGCTATTACGGAGAAATTGCTTGTGCCGATGAAAAATGTCCACCCGTCACATTTGGCTGTCAAAGAATTACCGACGATATCAAATGCTGCGGAAAAATTGTTTGCGGTGAGATCCTGAGAGTTGATTGTCATTTAAAATTCACCAATTTCCATTATTTTCTCCAGACACTTCAATATTATACTGTAGCCTGTTAATATAATGGTACTTTTGAAATTGTTCGTCAGGTCCAAAGGCCAATGGAAACGATTCTCCAACAGTAGTATTAAATAGAAATGACCTGCAATCATTTGATGCTTTCCGAGATGTTATTCGCACTGAGCCAGCCCCAGATTTACCTTCACTCATCGAAGATATGATGCCTTATCTCGAGCATCGAATATCGACACCGACCACTACTCCCCTCTCCAGTGACCGAGAAATATCAATGGTAAAGCCAAACATTAATATTCCAGATGAATTGGTGAATAAATATGAAGACGTTGTCATTACAACTGAAGAAACGAAATATTCAGTACCATCGGTTCTTTCTTCCGTTGACGAAAGAACTGAAGAAATTACAACGAAAAAATTGAACAATCACTCATTAATTAGTTACGACGATGAAGATGTGTTTTCATTTGATTCTATGTTAGATTTACTTTTTTCTCCTACTACTGTGCAGCCACAAATCGATGATACGAGTAGTCAAATATCTACCACTGAAAATATTTCTACACCAGAAATGATTTCGAATAATGTATCGCGTATATCTCCATCAAATAATGAAGCGTCGAACGAAAAAATGCTGTTGCATAACGCAGAGTTTGATGCTAAAGTCAATGATAGTTTTACGTTTTCAACATTTTCACAGGCTAATTTGAAAAATTCAACGTTATTCAATAAATGCTCAATTGGTTTGACTAATTGTACAAGACTGAAAGAGAGCGTTCCTGAAGAGGATAAAAATGAAAAGGCAGCTGTGAATACCGGTGGTGGGTTATTGAAACTTGCCGGATGCAATATCTATGGGCGTATGTATCGAGTTGGTAGGATAATTGTGGAGCTCTCGACGCCATGCCTCGAGTGCCGTTGCACTGATCTTGGGGTGCAGTGCAAACAACTTGAGTGTTGAAATGTATTAATGGAAATTTATAATTGAATTATCAGAATGGCATGAGTGAATAATCAATAGACATCGTAATATGGACATTGAAGAAAAGATAAGCGTGCTAACCATCACCAAAACGATTATTAGGGGAGCGGAGGGTAAAATGGATCGCCTAAGCAGAAACTCCTCCGACAATAATTTTTAATATTCACATAACTAGCTCTTACCATCGACAAAACGAAAACTCATTTTTTCTCCAATTGTCCCCAACTGACTCGTCGAAACTATAAAAAACAATTAATTTCTGCTTCATGGAATTATCATTGTTTAAGTGTTTATCAATTGAAGGTACTACATAGAATTAAAACCCGATGAGATTTTTATGAAAATTGATGTACAGATGAACTTTAATGCGAAAATTACTTAAATTTTTGCAAGCTTGGACGGACCAGAACAATAGTTATTAATTTTCTTATTTTTTTACGACTAACATTGAGTCTTAAGGTAGTTCAGTTTTTCGATTTTTCCTCAATTTTGAAAATTTCAACGATGAGTTTTTCATAAAATTTTTTGAGCTATATGTACAGATGTTAAATAACATTGTGCGCGTTGAAGAATTTCGATTCATGGGCTATAAATGTTGAAATTAATTAATTCAGTGGGAAATCAATGGATGTGGCAACAGCGCTATTCGGGTTAGACGAGTTCTCATTACAGAAACACAACGCACACATGGAAACACATCACACATGCGTGCAAGTCGTTGCGCAATGTTGTCAAGCCAAACTACCGCGCTAATCAAAGTCATCAGTACTCTAGCTTGACTCATGACGTACCGGGAGTACTACCTTAAATCTGACATTTAAACACGCACAAACGCATCAATTATTCCGCTCTTCGATCTCTCTAAAAAAAATGAAGAAAAAAATGAAAATATATAAAAAAAAGGGGTGGCCCATTCTAGCCACACGGTCCATTTTTCCCTCCCTACCCCTATTTTTCTGGTGAAGACTCTCTCTATTTGTGTGATCTCCATTAATGTCGTTATTTTATTTTATTTATTATTATCATGATGAAATCATTTTAATCGCACATATAGACTGATTTTTTGCTCATTAGTTTTTTTCATTCTGTTACACCTCTTCCCATCCACCTCGCTCTCGCTCTTTCTTTGCTGTCCTAGCATTATGACCCACTTGGGTACTTGGGAAAACGATATAGAACCAGGAATCGGGCGCGAGCCAATCTAACTGGACCATTATATATGTTGGAAATATACGCTGTACACCTTATGACTGCTTTTTTTTTATCAATATCGTTGATTCCTGACAATTTTTTTTTACTGCTCCACAAACACTCAATGTATTTCCAATACTATAGGTAGTGACAAATTATATTTTCATCTTTTAATAACGATCTCAGTAGAAACAAATTGTTTGGAAGATCATGGAAGAATAAACTTTTAAAAGACAAGTGGAAAATTTATAAGTTGCATCAGTCATTTTTGGAAATGAAAAATTTCTATTAGAATAATTTTCACGATGATATCTAGTCCTATAATTAGAATTAAAAATTTGTAGTATTAGACACTGTAATAAAAATGGAAGGGGTGTCTTTGATCACTCGATTACCAATTTGCTCATCGATTTCTTTATGGCTATCTGGAAATAATTTTTCATACTGAATATAAACATCAAAGATTCAAAGAAAATATCAGTGCTTTATTTTTCTATTCTTTATCATGCTGTGCAGACTAGACAATAAATATTTGCAACGAGGGTAGTCTTATCCCTTTGGATTCCCTGTTTTATCGTTCCCCGTGGTAAACTATGGCGGTGGTTTTTCCCAGTTTTATTTTACTCGGTTTATTTCACTTTTTTTTTCTATATTTTTGTTTTCTTTGGAGAAAATGGGATATATGAGGACAGCGTGTTTTACCTTGGCGGTGGAAATCTCTCCCTTCGCGCGTACACTCACTCTCCTCTTCTTATCTTTCACGATTTTCATTCGTCGCATTTATTCTCTCGTCCTCTTCAACTGTTGGAATTCGTCGATGTTAATAATTTGACTGGTGAGAGTCCTTAAGGATGTTCTTTACCGATATATAGCTAAAATTCACGATTTTAAATTTATTGGCAAATTATCGATGAGATTAATGTAAAATAAAGGGAATTGCTTTTATATCGCATATCAAAACCGAATTTTTGGAAAAATAAAAAAGAAAAAAAATGGATGGATGAAATCAATCTTTGTTGACGGCGAGATATAGGGCCCAATGAGACCTGTATTTCCTATTCTAAAAAGGACAACCATCGAGACTATCGATATCTCGAAAGTCTGTCACGCTTATTCCTCATTGGTTCAGGCGTCTGAGGCGGCTAATTTGAATTTGGAACTCATTTGAATCCTATTCTAAAAAGGACAACCATCGAGACTATCGATATCTCGAAAGTCTGTCACGCTTATTCCTCATTGGTTCAGGCGTCTGAGGCGGCTAATTTGAATTTGGAACTCATTTAAATTAACAATTTTTAATCAGGATTTTTATGATTAAAGCACGCTGTTGTGTGCGTTCGTTCTCGTGAAAAAAAATATTCAAGTGGGTAGAGATGAGGGTGAGCAATCAAAGAAAATCAATGGAAAAAAATACTACATACACACGCAGGCATACATACATTCGGACACAGTCTAAAAACTGCATTTTCGAACTCCTTGGATTATACTGAGATATTATAAAAATGGGAAACTTAGATTAGGTCGATTATAAAATTTCTAGGATAACATTTCAGCCGTTTGTCACTATTTAACGGCTCGTAAAGTTGTGGTGAGATCATTTCCATGCATTTTCTCTATATTTTTGTAATTCTTTTTGGAAGTTCAGAAAAAATACAGAAAAATTTTCGCACCACCTTGAAACATCATGAGTCATTAAATAATGATAAACCACAAAAATTTCTCTGATCAATTTATCGTGTCAAGCATCTACGCTACGATTAAGTTATAATCTGACGTTTTATCTCCTTTTGGAGAAATAGCAGAGGAAATTACATGGAATGGTATGGGAATATAGTATTCCCACGGAATAAATGAATCATTTGAAAAAAACAAAGAATTTAATCCCATTATCATTTTTCTTATGTAGAGGAAATGTTCTATGTGAATGATTAATGTTTATCTAAACCGATCAATTAATAGTTCCATTATATATATTTTTTTTTCTATTGTGCGTAATGATGATTGTTTTACATAATTTTTTACCTTGACAACTTATTATTAGGTTTTATTAATCATTAATCACAGTGGTGTAATTAATAATTTACATATTCATCAACAATTTCAGTATATCTATTTTCTCGCTTTCCAAGAATACTAAAAATAATCACAGCCAGTTTACTTTTTCTTTGATTTTTCATTTGTCATAACTTTGTTTCCAATTGTTGATAAAGAGGTTGATACGGTGAGGCATCTTAGATGATTCAATAAATACATTGAGTCATGCTGCTTACGTATATTATATATCGATCGTCTTTGATGTGTTACTTCATTTAATCATTTTCATCGGTTATGTGATCAATTTTTCAACCAAAAAGATTTTATATGTCTGTTTTGTCGTCATCCATACATCATTATTTTGATATCAGTCCACAGCGGGTGTTTTTTTTATAATAAATAATAAACCACTGCCATTCAGTGGTCTTTTAATAATTACTATATTCAGTCATTAATGTGAAGATTGAATTTTTACGAGTCTTTGAATGAAGAATAACACTTTTGATAAAATAAAACGAAATGATTCATCTGCTCTCACGCATCGCAAGTCAGAAAACACATGTGAATTCTTCATGAAGTGATTCGCATTCGTCGACATTCTCTGGAAATTGTCAATTTTTTTCCAAGTTACTCGAAAACTTTCTCCGCACTCTCTCTTATTTTAACCATGAGAAACGACTTTTTGCACAACTTAATAAGTTTTTGAATTCGTTGTCAGGAGGGTTTATGTAATTGTGGCAGTGCAACGAGATATACATTACCAAGTATTGCTCCAATAATCAATAGCATCACACTAATTGCACTTAAGAATCTAGCAAAACGTACAAATTTGCGGGCACGTGAGTCCTTTTTGTTTTGCTTTGGAAATATGGCTAATCCAAGTAGTGGCCCTGCTAGGGCACCAGCTACGTGCGCTGCCCAACCAACTCGTCCACATCCCAGCAATGCTGGTATGGGTAACGATGCAACATCCGCACCAGCAAGAAGTACAACAGCTACCAGACGCCAACCGGCATATCGCAGCTCACCGTGACACTGCAAGAACCCACCCGCCGGATCCACTCAGTTTATACGAGTAATAAAGAGGGAAAAAATTCAATGGACCATTGTCTGACTAAAAATCTCGTGACTGATGGAGAGCAATTCGAGAATTTAAATATGAATTTGAACTTCTTTTTTTCTTTTCATTCATATATGGGTGATTTCAGGGAAATAGTGATTATCACGAAATCACTCTTTTCATCATCATTACAAGATAATACCTGCTACTAAGGGAGCGAGTCAGTACTGAATGACCAGATATTTCCTTGAACATTATTAGAGATGAATAACTTTTCTGAATATGTGATTTACCAGTCGGTGCTGCGATATTTAAGAGTATTTATGTCAGTACCGTGTCGTAAATAATGAATTTATTCATCATTTGCTCCAGCATTTCACACACCGTAATCGGAATTGACATACGAAACGTTGTGCCGCCATGTTTCTTATTAATTTCAATCAAATATTATCATTTTTCGCTGTGGTTCTCAAGAAATATCTCAAAACGTACCGTCAATGTCGGTACCGTGGCTTTCTGAAAATGTGCTCCAGATGCGATACTGATTGACATAGGTACTCGAAAATTAGTTCACTCGGAGAGTACATCAATATCTTTCTACCAGATTCTACCAATGCATCTACGATCGTTCGGCAGAGGCTTGAGGAGCGCATCTAAATGGCCACGGTACTAACATAGATATCACTATTTCTGTGGAATCACCCGTATCAGTCGTCTGCCATCATAGGAGTGCAGATGTATTTTGGTGTTGAGTCGTTACTGTTACTGTCGTCAAGGACACCCGTCTTTGTGTAATCCTTCATGTAAACATGACGATTGGTACGATTGGGGGGAGGGGGTTGTTATAGACATGCACCGAAAATCTCATGACTGATAGAAATACGGTAACTCAAAAGCTCTAATCCATATTGTTGCAATGATAAATGAGAGAATTCCATGCCTGCGATAGGGGCAAATTATTAATGAAAAAAATGTTGGCTCGTACCAGATAGAGGTGTGCTAGATGACTCGTGAGTAGAGCGTAAACACCCGCAGATGCTCCGACAAGATAAAGACTTGGCTGAAGTAGAGATGCCCCTAGAGCACCACAAATACCACCTCCAAGATAAATCGTTGCAACTGCCAATTTTCCTTGTTCCACCTGTTGATAATCAAATTGAAAAAAAAAAAAATCTATGTGCATCAAAATTAAATTTTTTCTAGGCTATTTGATTTCACCTCAAGTGGAGTCGCCAACACTATTTGAATTACAACATTCAATGTCAAGTGAAGTGGATTTGAGTGTAATAACATATAAGTGATGAATCTCCATCCTTGAACACGCCTCTTGGGATCGTAAACTAACCATCGGCTTAGGACAGCTTCATCACTCAAACAATGAACACTGATCTGCAACACGAGCGATACAAAAAATGAATTGCAAAAATTTTTTCATCCACTTTGTTCAATTTTATTGAAAGGGACAAAAGCAATACGATCTTATTACAGACTTGAAAGTTTTATTTATGATACTACGATAGATCTACTGCGCATTCTGTGCGCTGAATTTGAATTTGGCGGTTCGAGTTGACCAATGAGGAATTAGTCCTACGCGCTTCGAGTTATTTCGACTCGCACGAACTTCATTTTTGTGTTCGTACGGTCATAATAAACGAGATCTACTGCGCACTCCGTGCGCCGAATTCGAATTTCGACTTCGGATTCGAGTTGACCAATAAGGAATCAGTCTTACGAGTTTCGACTCAGGCGAACTTCATTTACGTATCTCTGCTTTCATGATAAGGAAACTACCACTTTAGTTTACAAATTATTTTTTGCTATCTTTAATTGAATGACAGAACAAAAATCACCAGATAATCGGTACCGCATCGTGCGTCGATATTTTCAGAATTAAATCTAAAAAAAAAAACAAATGATTAATCGATATTCGTAAATTTTCAAACGATACAATGTCCCTAGCTTCTCCTTTAATATATAAGAAGAGATGACACCATTTTTCTTGGAGAGACCATCTGTATGGTTTTACGACAAAACTCTAGATGAATGTTTATTAATTAATACAAACAAATCTCTAAGCATGAAAAGAAAGAAACCATGGTGTTGCTTTAGTCTTTGTAACTTCGAGATCTTTTGCTAGTTCGGCGACCGCTCTCGAAGTGTGAACATCTTAATAAAATATAATTAAATTATTCTTACATAAACGTCTCATTCATTTATTAACTTGGCTTCCAATAAAAAAGAATTTTATTCGCTCTCTTCTCCTCGCCCCGAGATTAAAAATGCTTTGTTCCTCCTTCCTCTGTTTTTCTATTTTCCTTTTTCCTGATTCTTTTAGGTTTTTTTCAAATTTATATTCTTTCAATTCTATTTCGAAGGTCTGATGTAGATTAATTAACGGGATATTTCTTGACTTATTATAAAAAGCGAAAAATCGTGAGAAGGACAAGGAGCGTAGAGGAAAACTGGTCGACATAGATGCAATGCTGAAGGTTAATTAAATTAATTAAAACAACAAATAGTTAGTAGACTAACGTACTCTTAGAATGTTTGCGTTTCAACGGGCAGTGAGACGCTAATGACTCAAGAAAATAAAGTTTATGAATGAGAGAAAAGTTTAAAGGGTGAAGTTTGCATATTTTCTCATCTGTTCTTCCGCATCGCTGATTCATTTTTTTTTACCGTAAAATATTAGAGAATAAATGAAAAATTATCTTCTCACGTGTTCAACAAATACTGTAGAAGATAAAAACTTTTAATACAAGTTAAAAATCAATTTAATATGAATATTATTCCATGAAATGAATACGGAATACTCTTGTCCATTTGTTTTCACCAACGGTTAATTTTCAAGAGACACCGGATGTTAGACTGTAACTGTTATTTCAAGTTTCCTCTCTCTGGAATCTCTAAAATAAATATACCCCTTGAGTAGCAACATCCGAGCCATTTGGAATTAACACTGTGTATACTTGTGGAAGCATTTGTGTAGAATATTTTTCGAGTTGTACGTGAGTTACGAGTACAGGATAACGATGAAAATTCATTAGTACCTGACGTACAACCGCTGTTATCTCGTTAATGAGGATTGAAGAGTTTATGGCGCTTAATGGTGCTATTAACCCCCAACCTGTACATGTACAAAACCGTAACTATAAATAGAATTATGCTAGTTGAAACATTAATATGAGTGAGCATTTTGTCCGGTATCCACTTATGATATCGACTCCCCGCACCCTCAGAATCTCCATCAATTACCATTACAAATATTAGTAAATGTATGGTCTAGGTCCACCAAAAACCAAAAATCATTCAAGTATTAGTTTCTTTGACGAAAAATCCATTCTTATCCTCTCAGTTACCAAGAACAAGATGAAAGAAGAGAGTGAGAAACAACAAGGAGGGAAATACATCGATAAATAGTCCTGAGGTAAACTCTGTTGTCCCTTAAAAGTCGTTAACGCGACGAGTGAGTGATATTAAATTCAATATTTTGAATAGCTACAGAAGAGTAGCGGCGGATAAGTCACTCGTTGTGTTCGGTCACCGATGGTAGATGGTCGGGAGAGGTGAATTCAGAGTTTTAGTCAAATGCTCAGGACTATTTGATAAATCCATCTTTCTGTGTGTCCATTGTCTATAAATGTCCCAAAACGTGGTGTCGCTGGGGCCGCCACACCGCCACGTCCTCGCCGTGGCCTTGGATAACGCAGAGAGCGGTGTATTAAATATCATATCTCCTATACTAATTGTTTCCAGATAAAAAGGTGACCGGATCCTTAATCGGGTGACGGAAACCCATCAAACCCATCCAACCCATCCATCAAATATAAAACATCCAGAATGGTTTGGTGGACCTGAACTAGACATTTACCCAAATATTCTCCATGTGCTTTCACCCAATATTTGAATTCATTTTTATAATTACCTCGAGGATGCTAATACAGATCATGAGATATGGCGGTCTTATCCGAAATTCTGGCTTTATCAATTTCACTGAATGTTTAGGAATTGGCTTTGGCATGATTTCATCTTCTCTGATCTTCCTGAATACCGGTTTGGCTGTGATGGACGAATCGGTTGGATATGGAGATCGACCATCGGCGTATCTTGGTTCGCCTTGATCGAAGGAGATGGTCGAGATGGTGGAGATGGTGGGTGATGTCACCAGACGGGCGGCTTCGGCGTCCATTTTCACAGCTGCAAGCAAGAGCAAAAGGGGATGGGGATGGCTCATTCTTAAATTCACTTGGAAACACTCAACTTATCGCTTAAGGGCCGCATGGACTATCTATCGAACGTTATCTTTTGTTTCAATTCTATCTGAACAGCCTGAAATATATCAGAATTTGGGATCAAATTTCTGCTGCAGGCACCCTCGAATGGATCTAAAAAGATAATGGAAAAAAAGAGGAAAAACGATTAAGATTGCGATACTGATCGAAAGGGATCTCCTAAATTTATTTAAAAAATGGTAAATAGACGCAATTGTAAACTACGTATTTTTAATTATTTTTTTGCAAACTTGATAAATCCTTTTCAATCAATATCGCGAATCAGCGCTCTTCAATATATTTATATGGGGTCTTAATATATTAATTAACAACCAAAAATATACATTATTCAGAAATTAGGAAATTGGTGGAGGGTGTTAGGGGGCAATATTCAGTTGAAAGATGAAGGCTGTATGTAGCTCCACGCTATAAATTCGTGGCTGATTTCTATAGTCTTTTGAAAAGAAAAATCAGACAAAGCACTTCTCGCGGTTGAAGGAGAACAAAGGCATAGAAATACTCTCTATCCCTCTCTCTTCATCCCCCTCTCATCCCGTAAAGCTCTTCCCTCTCGTATCCCCACTCTGAGAGCTTCAAGTCACTCGGGTTGACCATAGAGGAGTGAAACTTTGCCGAAATATCCTCTTCAGGCTTTTGCCTTTCAAACCCATCCACCGCTTGCCGGCAGTCACTTTCAAAAGTAAAGTGCCAGGAATCCATTTGAACACATTTGAACTAGATAACAACTCTCATATCTACTATATCGATCCCATTCTTTAGAACTATCGAATTTAACGACTTATGCGTTGAATCTTCATTTTTAATTTTCCCGCAAAATTTTTATAACTGCAAATTTTAGAAAAACCATTTTTCTACAGAACTAACATCCAAGGAATATAAGCAAGCGGACAATTGCTCTTATATCGCATATCATATAGTTATCTTTGTGAATATTAGTGTGAGGGAATTTTTTCGAAGTGTCATACGAGACGCATTGGTGTGAGGGAAAAATTTTAAAAATTTTCCAAAATTTTTTTTTTTGAAAATAAACAGTTGAGGACAATGAGGGCCTTGTTTTACTCCACCCGACACCTCGAGGTTTTTCATCTAGAAACCATTTAGGACATTGGCTATGCAGACTCTAGCAGGCAGTCATAAACAAAGAGGACTTGGGCCTAACGTTCCCAAAACGGAAAATCCATCGGGCAGTTCGACTCTCAACCCGAATGAGATCACATCGCTCCACATTAAATATCTTCTGACATATTTTACTAAACCTTGTTATTAGAGTTTCTTTTAATTAACGGTTACTGTATTGGAACTGTTTAATAAAAGGGATGGATGAAATAAATTTTTATTGACAGCGCTAGACAGGACCCAGTACGACCTATATTTAGAAAATAAGGAGACTCAATTAGGTAGAGATGGAGGTGCGCAATCAAAGAAAATCAATGGAAAAATATCACATAAACATATACACATACATATGTCCATTCGGACCCGGTCTGAAAAATGTATTTTCGAACTTCGTGTGTCACCTCGAGTTGATATATGACAAAAACAGGGAAACTTAAATATGATCGATTACAAAGCTTCCATCCGGGAGCAAAAATTCAAAAATATATGTCCACATATGGAATTAACAGAAGGATGATCTCTTTGTTGATTTTATTAATGTTCGAGTTGATAATAAAAATAAACCTCTGAAGTATAAAGAGATGAAAAAAAGAATGAAAAAAGATGAGGCTTTATGGTAAAAGAGAGACTTCGTTATTCCAGGCTCGTAGGCACTTTGTAGTTATATCAGGAAAGAGAACTACTGTCCATGTCTCGCCAGTGCGCACTCTCTTTTCCTCGCTAATATAACGCGATTTGCATGTAATGATTATCACCAACAGCAAGGAGAAATAAATAATGATGGGCCTTGGCGAGTGAGAGGGCGTTTATGAAAAATTAGGCATGTCAGGAAAAAAATTCTTTTGTCAGAAAATAAAGGGGCACTGCAAATTCAATGGCTCATGTAAATCGACGGCGATTGAATGCATTTTACGGACGTACGAATATTGAAATGGAATATCCAGGCATATCAATGAACCTCTACTCGTTTCCGTCATTTTGGGAGATTTTTTTTCAAGTGCGCATGTGTGTTTACGATGTTTTGTGAATAATTTTGCATTAATCTGCATTCCTATGGGGAAGAAGAACAAAATCCGGTGAGTACATATTAAGCTGGTGAGTCTGCAACTAAAGAATAACTTTGTCTTGTAATTAGTACAAGTCTAGTGCAAGTCTAGCGCAAATCTAGTGCGAGTCTGGTGCAACATTTACGAAGAATATTTCTAACGCCAATTTTTTCCTATTTCTATCGTTTTTCATCAACGAAGGAGAGCAAGCCAAAAACAGAGACATAAAATTGACATTTATGAGGGTCACCTAGCACGGTTGAAGGCGCTGACGTCACGTAAATCGCAGCTGACACATTGAAGGAATAAAAGCAGCGGAGAATATAACGCTAACAAAAATTTTCCGTTTTTCCTCGTGACGATGTACGGCTCCCCTTTCAGAGCCTTTTTTTCTACTCTTCCGCACTCTATCCTTTCTATTTTTCCAGCATGCATATATGGGCGATTCCAAAAAAATAGTGATTATCACGAAATCACTCTTTTAATCAGTATTACAAGATAATACCAGCTACTAAGTGAGCAAGTCAGTGCTGAATGACCAGATATTTCCTTGAACATTCTTGGAGATGAATAACTTTTCTGAGGTATTTATGTCATTACCGTGTCTTAAATAATGAATTTATTCATCATTTGCACCATATCACACGCCATACTCGGAATTGACATACAAAATGTTGTGCTGCCACATGTTTCTTATTTATTTCATTCAAATTTTATCATTTTCTCCTACCGTTATTAAGAAATATCTCAAAACGTGCTGTCAATGTCAGGACCGTGACTTTCTGAAAATGTGCTCTAGATGCCATCCTGATTGCCATAGGTACTTCAAAATTAGTCCACTCGGAGAGTACATCAATATCTTTCTACCAGATTCTACCAATGTGTCTACGATTTTTCCGCTGAGGCTTGGGCGCTTCGAATGGCCACGGTACTGACAGATCTCCATATAAGCATATAAAATAAAAATGAAAATGAATAGAATCGAGAAAGATGAATAAAAGATATTATTGTTACCCTTTGCTGATTTGACATTTAATTATTATAGA